GAAAGAAACAGCAAACAGAATTTCATGAAGCTCCTCCTGCATCGCTCTCCTGATCCAGATATGTGTCCCATCATAGAGCCAAAGCCCCCTGCAGTTAGAAACAGGAGCCTGACCTTTGGTTGGGTCTCTCCATAGTGTGAGACCTGGCTAAAACGAAGGCTCATTACAATTTAATCTTTTTTTCTTTCTGTTTCTAGTCGGAGTGGACGATATGGCAGCCGTGCTCTGTGGGATCCCAAGGATGGCTCTCCATCCCGCTCCATGTCTCAGTCGCTGTCTCGTTCTCGTTCTCCAAGTCCTCCTTCAAAAAAACGTCGGGTGGACAGCCACCCATTCAGGCCACAGAAGAGGCGTAATTCCCCTCAGCGTTACCCACAGCAGATGCATGACACAGGTACATCTCATGCCAGAAGGGAACATGATGTACACAGTTCACAATGTGTAACCACGCTGCACTCCTCTGAAATATAATTTTGTGCCATTTCAATTCAGTTTTTTTTTATATAGCCCAAAATCACAACAGCAGTCACCTTTAGTAGCTCCCCAACTGAGTTCAGCTGTTTACGAATCAGTTTTTAGGTTTGGTTTTAAAGATGACTTTTGTTGCATTGAGCCGTAGTTTAAATGCATGGGCTCTAATTATATTGTATGGAGGCTTGGGGTGTGGAGTGGGCTGTTTATTTCCCACTAACAGGCACCTTTTTATTCATCAGGAGACCACTGAAGCACGGCTGAATGAAGAGAGGTGTAGTCTGTCTTAGTGGGTATATTTGGACTTGTTAGCCACAGAGTTAAACTTTCTGGTAACAGTTAACAGGACCAGTAGCCTAATGAAAACCATTTACATAGATCAGATATGATGCAACCTGTGGCTTTTAAATAAGGTGTGCACTATGCTTTTGTTATGTATGAGGTGCTATGCTGGAAAACCTCTGACTTCACTCATCTTTATTTTTTGCATTTAGAACACAGGGATCGGTTGAAGTACCGCCACTCTGGCTCACACAGTCCTTCTAATATGAACCGAACATTCAGAGAGTACTGGAGCGCCAGGAGGGACAGGGTTTCAACAGGTTAGTGTGTGGCGGGTTTTTGTTTGTTTTGGTCAGAAAACACCCAACATATGTCTGATATATAGGGATGGGTATCGTTTAGGTTTTATCCGATACCAGTACCAAACCGGTACTTTTGAAAC